TGCATCAAGTAATGAACTGGTCGCGAAGGTCGCATATGACGAGGTGGCCGAGAGGTTAAGGCGTTGGACTGCTAATCCAATGTGCTCTGCACGCGTGGGTTCGAATCCCATCCTCGTCGATCTCTATTTTTTTTATATGAAGCTAAAACATTGAAATAAATAATTAATTAGAGTAAGCGTTGCGTTACTAATAAATTAGAATAGGTGCAATAATATAAGTCTAACTGAATGCAAATTAAAAGAATTTGACCAAAAACCAAGTGCGACGAGGATGGGATTCGAACCCACGCGTGCAGAGCACATTGGATTAGCAGTCCAACGCCTTAACCACTCGGCCACCTCGTCTTCTTCCCAGCCGCCGGCCCAATGAGACTTCTCAACTCCATGAGAGCTTGATTGTGTTTATTGTGAATAATCGAACAATAATTATGTCAATAAAATGCCGTAAGAATTACAAAAACAAAAATATTTTTGTTTACTCGGCTGAGTAATGGCCTGGACAACCCATGAAAAAAATCATCTGTTTGCCGTTCAAGAAAGTAGCCAAGTGGTGGCGCGTGTTTTGTGGTTTTTGGAGTGCAGTCTAAGTGCTTAATTATTCGGCGCAGAGGTCAACTTTAGCTTTTATACACTACACGAACAGAGTTTCTTAGTTTCGTAATTTAATAACAGAGTTTCTGATAAGCTTAAAATCTCATAAGGATTTTTGTTGCCGTGCTTATCTTAAAAACTAATTTGCTATCACGAATGTGTTTTAACACAACAAAGGCCCATACATTATGATAATAATTTTGATTTTATTTCTGTTTGTTTATTTGGTAAAGTATAACAGAGAGAGGTAGAACTTTTGTAATTTTTATTCATAGAATTTTTTTATTTTGCCGTGAGTTTATTTGAAAGAGTATACCAGAGAAAGGTTGAACTTTTGTGAATTTTATTCATAGAATCTATTTATTTTGCTGAGTGTTTATGCGAAAGAGTATTCCAGAGAAAGGTAGAACTTATGTGAATTTTATTCATAGAATCTAATTGTTTGTTTAGGCACTTTAGAACACGGTGTTTAAAGGGGTTCTTCTTTGTCCATAACTCTGATATACTATAGAAGCAGTCGTGCCGCCGGCTGACCCAGTTTTGACTTATTTATATATTTATACATTTTTAGCTTCAGTTTCTATGCGCACAGCCAAAGTTTGCGGAAAAAAGTAAACAAATCATAAGTAGTTTACCTTAAATGAACTGGGATTCGGATTGGTAGATGATGCTCTTCATGATGATGACGATGGAAGATAAACTCAGAAAGTAACTGGCCCAACTATGCGTATGTCCAGTTGTCAACAGTTGCCATCGTCGTCGCAGTCGCCGTTGTCGTGGTGTTAATGAACCCTATTGCCTGATATCTGATAGTTGATAGTTGTTTACGTTTACGTTTGCCTTTATGTACGTTCCAATTGCCGGCATTTACACCTAGTGCGACACATCGGCTTCGTTAGGAAAGTGTGCCCAAGTTTGATGATGCGCAGGCACGCGTGTTTATATTTAGCATTTAAGCTGTTGTTGCTGTTGTTGCTGCTGCTGCCACTGGAGCAGCACAAAAAGCCCGCTGTCGGGTGATAGTCACGTGCACAAGGACATTCCAAGGCTAATTACGTTGGCGCGTCGCCTGCGTTGAGCGGCGCGGGCTTGGCTCTAACATGGCCTGTCTCGGCTCTATTATAGCACCACCCGTTCATTATTGTTGTAGCGGCCACTATGCACACATCTCTCTCTCTCTCTATATCTATCTATCTCTCTCTTACTGCTGCCGTTCTTTTGCCAGTAGCAGCAGCAGCAGCAGCAGCCGCTTCACAATCTGCGGCATTCAAGTACAAACGTGTAGCATGGGTATCTTTAGCTGTATCTGCATCTTTGCATCTGCGTGGTTGTCTCCAGTTGCAGTTACAGTCGCCAGCAGTCGCCGCTTAATTAGCCATGTAATTTATTATGGCCCTAATCTTTAGAAGAGCAGTGCGCCGGCGCCAACGCCAACGCCGCTGGCATTGACAAATAAACAAATTATTTATATTAGATTATTAATATAAAGCACAGCATCTCAGTTGTGCAAAAGTCAGGGAGCGCCTATCTATGTTTATCAGCCTGTCTATAAAATCAACATAATTATAAGACGCCGACTTTCCCTCTCCCTTTCTCTCTCTCTCTCCCTCTCTCTCTCTCTCAGGTAGCGGCTTGGCCTAGGGCAAGGGCTTAATAGGCAGTTCTATGACTGGCATAAACCCAGAATTATGCAGACAATAAAGATGCACACCATCCCAGTGCATATGTATGTATGTATGTAGACTCTTACATATGCTCGTAGGTTGAGGTAATCGCACAATTATGCCCAATTATGCAACAGTTGTTCGTGACTGGGGCGTTGCTGCAGTTACAGATATACACAGGTGCTTAAGCTTGGCGCTAAGCAGATTGTTTTCTGGATATCGTTAACTAATGAGCCTTCTACTTACTGACTCCACCGCCTCTCCCCAGCCCGGGGGCCCGCATCAATGTCATAAAAATTAAATTGCATAATCGCGGGTGTCAGTTACAGGGCATGCAGACATACGATCTTGTAATTAACATTTCTCAGATATTCTTTTTGCTTAAATTTCTTCTTCATTGCTTTACTCTTTTAATTTGCTGCAATTGCATGTGCAGCTGACACAGCGGCCATTGACGCTTGTGTGTAATTATAATTATATGTATTTCTGTACATATGCTAACGTTTGGGCTGGCAGCAATTAGCCGATTTATCACCTGGGAGCGACCTCAGCCGATCTCACAAAAGCAGATGGAGTCTGTAACAGCAACAGCAACAGCAACAACAAAAGCGACAGCGACAGCTTTTGGCCCGCTTCTAACTACTTGGGCCAACTCTCGCCTCTTGGCCAGTTCTGCGCCTGCGCAGCGACGCCGTCGTCTGCGTCGCCTTAGCCAATATAAAGCCCAGCTTCTAAGCGCGCTCAGACTTATTGCCAGTTCAACACGTCTGTGGTGCAGTTCATCCGTTCTTTTGCTACTGTTCCTGTACTGCGTCCTGTTCAGTATTCAAGAAGCTTTCCATTTGGATTAACAAGTACGCAGTGCGAAAATATTGTGAATAGTTTGGAAACAAATTTTGTAAAAGTGTGAATGAAGGGAAATTTTCTATAAATTTTATTAAAATGTTTTCATAGGGTTACAAATGGCATTGCCTAATATTCCTTTACAGTGAAAAAAAAAAAAAACAATTAAATTTTTATTGTGATTTTATTTTTATCTTGTGGCCAATTAGGATTTCATTTAATCTTTAGAGGATCTATTGGGCCCTCTACTTTGTAAATAGTTTGTGCTTGTGTATAAGAACAAAGATAATATAGATATAGATTGAATAACTGCACAATCTAACTACATTAATAAAATATCTTCATATATATAACAATTTATATATATATACTTTTTATTGATCTCCACAAAACGAGAAGTATGAAATGTCCTCAGTACATGTTAATATTTGATTCATTCACGTAAGCCGTTTGGGAACTTCAATCTAAGGGTGATATTGCTCTCTTTTGAAATTCATACTAGGATCTATAAAATTATATACTATTTTTTACCCTTGCAGCTAACGCCGTCGCCATGTCAACTCACATGGCCAATCTGCGCATTTTGCTGTCCTTGCTGCTGATCTGCTCGACGCAGGCTGCCAATCTGTCGCAGCTGGTCAAGAAGCAGACGCAAGTGAAGCAGCCGCAGCAGCAGCAGCAACAGCAGCAGCAGGCAGCGAGCCACATGGCTGCGGCTGGGCAGCAGTATGCGCATGAGGCGGAGCTGCCAGCAGAGCAGCAGCAGGATATGAAGAGCGAAGAGGAGGATGATTCATATCAGATGATGCACGAGTTCAAGCAGGACTCGCGCATGCCGGCCTCTGCAACGAACTTTGCTTGGAATCCATATACAGCAGCAGCTGCCGCCGCCGCCACCGCTGCAGCCAATCCATTTGAAAGCATGGCACCGCCTGCACCGGCTCTGCCCATGCCCAAGATGCTGCCATTTATTGGGTATGCACAGCCGCTGCTAATACCCTTTCCGCTGTACATAGCCCCAGACATGTTCTATCCCAGCTATCCGGGCGCTAGCAACGATCTGGAAGATGTGGTCATGTCGCGTGCCGCCGGCGATCGTCGTCCGTCCGCTGCTCAAGCGGCTCGCAACTCGCCCATTTACTATGTGCGCCTGCCGCCCACGCCGTACATGTTTGTGCCCACCAACCTGGCACCGACCCCGTTTGCCAACAGCTTCTCGCCACTGCTCACCTATCAGCCCATGCCCACGTTCTCCACCTTTGGATCGGTCTTCAATCTGCCCGTCAACTTTCTGGCCAACGGCAAGCCCTCCGGCATTTATCAGATGAATGGCGCCGCCGGGGATATGGCATCATATACACCTGGATATGGCAGCAACTTCAATTTGCGCCCGCCCACACCGACCAATCCGTATAGACCGCCTCCGGCCGCCAACTACGGCCATGCGCCCCAGCAGCAGGGCTTCGGGCTGGCCTCACTGCCTGCTCCGCAGCAGGACTCCAAGTTGACATCACTGAAGCGTCCCTTTCTGTTTAATGGACGCCCCGAGGACATCTATATTCTGCCTAACAATATGAACTCGCTGTACAACTACAACGAGCAGAACTACTACTGATATGTGGTGGGCGTGGCAGCAACTGAAAGTATTACTGAATGCATTTCAAACTAATTAGCAATAAAATTGCATATAAAAACTTTATTTGTGCGTTTTCGAGACTTAATTAGCCAAATGATAACATATCATCTAGGTTGATCCTCAAGTCGTAAGTTTAGATATATATCTTATCAAAAGAAGTCCGTATATGGCTTAACATCTGATATCTATACAAAAAAGCGTCTTAAAAGACAACTTGGTAGTTTGTATGCATCAGGAAATAAAAATATAAAAAAAGACGAAAATAGTCGGATAAATACTTAATATTACATAATATTGTCTTAATTTTAAATACTTAGGTTTTTACAAAAGTGTGCAGAAAGAAAATGATGTTCTCAATCGCCGATAGCCGCGACTTTCTTCTTCATTTTATCAATATATTGGCTATCGCCCAAGTATTTGACATCCCCAACGAGCTGTCCGGACTTCATATTGAACTCGTATACAATTGGCACACTATTGGGAATGTTGACCTTTTCGATTTGCTCTTCGGAGAAACCTAAAAGCGAAATAAACCGAGGAAATACTTTAGATTTATTGATCAGATATTTGGATTGATGTAGCGCACCTTCGATATGCTTAATCAGAGCTCTGGCAACGGTTCCATGGACGACGAGCAAGATACGTGTCCCCATCAGGACTTCTTTTTTGATCTCTAACCAAATGGGGGCGACACGATCCACACACATGCGCATGGATTCGGTGAGGGGAAATTCATTGGGTGGTACATCCAAAAAGGCAGGATTATTGGCGATCTGGTAGTAATAGATATTCGACTCATTGATGGGCGGCGGTAAGCCGTCGTAGTTGCGTCGCCAGAACTGTACCTGCTCCTCGCCATACTGATTGGCCAGCACGCGCTTATTGATTCCTGTCAGGTTGCCGTAATGCCGCTCATTCAGTCGCCAATCGGACACGATTGGCAAAAACGAGCATTGCATTTCGCTTAATATAGCTTCGACCGTTGTCCTCGATCGACACAGCTTCGAGCAGTAGACCTTATCAAATACCATGTTGGCCTCGTTCAAATTGGCAGCGGCCAAGATACGGGCCTCTTCCAGGCCTAAAACGAATATTGAACATTAGTATGATTATATTCATTATTAATTTCATCTTCTTGGTTCTTATGAATATATACGACAAGAAAATTAAAAATTAATCTGAATTTCGTATAAAAATATTATTAAATTTAAAATATATAAATAAAATATTTTAGTATTTTTAAAAATCTACAAAATTCCTAATGCAATATTAATAATATATTAATTAATATAAATAATGAAAAATTTATGAAATATGTATAATATGTGTAGATAAAAAAGAGTATATTTTGACAATTATTCTATACATCGTGTTACGTCCTTTATAATAAAATCATAATACTCTTTGATAAGAGCATAATAACAAATGTACTGTTATCACTATTGTACGCTTACCACCCGCGCTGAGCGGCGCATCGTGCCAGCCGCAAAACAGATTCTTCAGATTGAACTCGCTCTCGCCATGGCGCACCAGTACAAGTTGATTCGTTCTGCTCATCAGGTTGTTGCTGAAGCGATAAAACAGGTCTCGTTTGGTTAGTCAGCTTAATTATCACTAGCGCCATGCCTTTTGGAATATTAACTAAAAGAATTGTGTTAGTGTATCACTCAATATACCGCTATATTCGAAATATAAATGAATAACAATAACAACGGACAAACTCCTGAGCGAATCTACTTTTGGCTTAGTCGTCGTTGTATTCGACACAGGCCGTTTCTATTGAATTGCTTGAGACACGAGGCTTGAGTTGTTATTTTTTTTTTTTTGAAACGCGCATACCGCACATTCTTTTGGCTAACGTATCCGAAATAAATTGAGAAACAGAAAATAATAATGAAGACAAAAAAAATAATAAAAACAAAAATAAATAAAGAGTCCGCGCTCACATGCCAAAGCCCAAAGAATACAAAACGAATTATAATTGCGTTTGGGTACGGGTACACGCTGCTGGCTGGCTGGCTAGACAGCGAGACAGACATAAGCAGCGCACACTTTGACTACGCTTTGTTCTGTTTTTGCAGTCTCTGTTTTGCTCGTCTCATTCGCCGTTTTTGGAGGTATCAAATTTTTGTTTGTTACTTCGCACTTCCTATTGTTACTGTTGTTGCGCTTGTTATTGCCGCCGCAGACGCAGTCATTGGCATTGCATGCGCGAACATATTGGCATAGTTTAGAATTAATATTTTATTTTATTATTATTTTTTTGCAATTGGATCTACGCTTTATTCGCGAACCGCGCACTGAATAGCGCGCCAAAGCGTCGTTCGTCTATGCCGTCGCGTGATTGTCTCGCTGTGCCTCGTCTCGTCTCATTTCGGCTCTCCACACTGTTTACCCCTCTCTCTTTTACTCTCTCTCTCTCTCTCTCACACATATTTTACTTACGCCTGGCACTGTAGCAGTTCACAAAGCTCGCGCATTTCGGTGTTTTTGTTGTTTTTTTTGTTTTGTTTTGTTTTGCGAGTGTTTGTGTTGGTTACGATAAATATTTGTTGACTTTTTGCGTAGCTGTAAGTTTTGCTTCTTGTTTTTTGTTTGTTTGGGTTAATATCAATTATAAGGACAGTACGTTACACTTTTTGTTTCAATAACTTCCACGTTATCCACATTGTCTTGCACTCGCTCCCTGAATTTGTGCACTTCTCCGTTTGCTACGTTTTGTTTATCTAGTAAGACTTCTGCCTGCAACTACGTTTGTTTTCCTATTGGCCACAGTTGAGTACTGCGCAAAATTCTTATTGGTAAAATATGAGCTGCTTAGCCTCTGTCGGCGTCGGCATCGACATCGGCGTCAGCGTCGACGCTGCTAACGACTGCGCCTCAACAACTGATGCTGAGCCGGTTGTTGTTGCTTTTTGCTACGTTTTGTTCCGCAACACGTAAGTCCGAGCGAAAAATCAATATAAATACGCACATAGCCAGGAAAATTAAGAGAATTTTTGAATCATTTTTAATTTTGTGGTTAATTTGGGTGTGTTTGTATTAGCCAACTGTGAGACGAAATAGTTCAAAATGTTTGAATATATGAACTCTGTGTATATTTTGTTTATGTCTAAAATTTCTTAATAATACTTACAAAAATATTTTTTCTTTTTAATTATCTTAAATTAAGAAATTACTTTGCCACTGGACACACAAATCCCATTTGAAAAAGCTTTTATATATGTACATATATATAATTTAAATAAAATTGGTTGTATAAGTATACAAGAAATGAGAGAAAGAGAATAGTTTGTGAAATTTTGTTTATATACACATTGAAGTGAATCGCACAGTATTAAAAATCGTTTATCGGCCAAGAATTGGCTCGACTATGATCTTGATCTTGATCTTTGAGCTGCTATATTATACTCTTGGCAATTCTCCAATAAATGCAATCACATTGAAAGCTTTTCGCTAAAAAGTCTGTAGAGAAATTTAGCAATAAAACATTCTCTTTCTTTAAACATAGCTAAGCTGATCAGAAATGCTAAATTATTGGAACTCTTCACTCATAAATCATAAATAGAGTTCGATGGGTTATACGTACATATGTATATATATCAAAACAAACTTATTTATGTACATGTACCCAGCATTTAAAAAAAAATTAAGTTCTTGTTGAAAATGGAACATATCATGTTGAATTGCTAATTTGATAGTACAATTTTTTTTTTTTAATTTTTGCTTAAAACTTTTGTATATTTAATTAAAAGGACAATGAGATATAATGAAGCCAGGGTATTTAATATTCGTTAGCTATCTGTAGTTTTAATCTCTAAAACAACTGTAAATTCTTAAAGTTAAGCTTAAAGCTCGGTGTTATGGAGTTTTAGCATGTCATCATTGTAATCGGAACGTTTTTATAGTGAATTGTAATAGTAAACACAGAAGCCCAACTAGAATCCGTTCTCGAAGCTGTGCAGCTGCCAAATATGAGCCGCTTAAGTCCGTAAATGTTACGTGGGTGCTCATAACTGTCTGTGTGTCAACCTATTTCGGCATTACTTGTTGGCGCTGTTGTCGTTGAGCCGCAGAAATCGAGCATGAAAAAAAGAAACTCTCGAGTCATCCACCCCCCAGAGCCGATGGCATTTCCCAAGTGATCTCGACTCTGACGAAGGGCTGTCGGAGACCACGAATCCGTATAAAGGTCTAAGCCAGCCATGAGCGCGGCTCAGTTGGCAGAGCAGCGTGCGTGAGCCTCTTTGTCGGGTCGTTCGTGTACATAACGATTGCATACTTCAGTTGATTTACACTTGAATAAGAGTTAATATACGACTGTGCACAGTTGTCATTATAATTGCACAAAATGCATTTTCCGGCAATTGGCGACTTCTATCAGCGACTTCTGTTTCTGCTGCCCTTCTCAGCGAGTGGGTATTATTGTCAAATTGAGAACTTTATTTACAAATCAATCGAGTGTGTCCATGCTATATAAATGATTGGCATTCACAATTGTGCATGTGAATAATACTATGTGTTCGCAACACAAACACATTTGGGTCTCTTCTCTATGCTCAATGGGTCTTGCCATCTGTAACGGTACATGCACCTTACGCACTGAGCGAATTTATGAGCCATCTCAAATCTAATATCGCTCATATGTCACCTTAAGTACTCATAAAACTGTCAAATCGAAAGGGAGTGAAGCACACGCATAGGCCAACTAATGGATAGTAAACAAAAGACGCGGCTTGTAAATAATAACAATAATTAAAATTGCATGCACAAATGCTTTGCGAATAGCGAATAACCATGGAAGATGTCGCAGCACTTTTATTGTTGTTTACAATAAGATTATATAAGATGGCGCAAATTTCTTAGCCTTTTGCCCGACTTCCCCACATAAATTGGACAATTATGGTACGCAATTGGCTCTGCGTTTTGGGAATTGAGTCAAAGCAGTTGGCCATTGTGATTGAGTATCTTTGGGGTTGCCCAACTAAGCTGCAGTGAATGGTGACAGCCATAGATCAAGTAACAAGATAATCCATATCCATTATCTGACCACCCGGTGCACTCCTCAACATAAAAGTTACCCAACTGATCAGGCAGATAGCTGAGCAACTGGGAATTTGGTCATGGTCATATTCATTATTATAAATATTGATAATATATATTTTTGGAAACAAGTCAACCTCTAGTCCATTCCAGTCCAAGCCGAACCATATTCCATATCTTGAATGAATCTACAATTATCCAACATTTGGTTGATCCATATATTGAAATATTTCAATTGAACAGTATTTTCGATAAAGAATATACATTTTTAACATACAAAATATGTTTAGTTAAAACAAGGTTTCCGCATAAAACTTAGCCGAATATATTATCTGTATTTATCCATATATCGATACTAATCAAAAGTACTCTCAACTAGATTTGCTGCCAGAAGGGCTACGCTTCAGCTATGACGACCCCCAAAGCTGGCGACTTAGTTATCCACAATGTGGGGGTAACTACCAATCGCCCATCTCATTGAGTCTCCACAAGGCAATACCCATTGGCTTGCCTCCATTGCACTTTGGTCATTATGATCAGCCCTTCGATGAGCTCTTGAGTGTGAGAAATAATGGACATACAGGCATGTATGCTGCATCAACAAAATATTTCTTATACTAATGAATCTCTCCTAAATTGTATGCAGTTGAGTTCAGGGTGCCCACAACCGTGCTGGGTGAACGTCCTTTTCTCACTGGCGGACTACTGGGGGACTTCTACGAGGCGAGGGCTGTGCATTTTCATTGGGGCTCGTCTCAGCGTAAGGGCTCCGAGCATTTGCTTAACGGGCGGCGCTACGATCTGGAAATGCATATTGTGCATCGCAATACAAGATACCAGAGCGATGAGGAGGCCAGAAACCAAACCGATGGCCTGGCCGTACTCGCAGTGCTCTTCAAGGTGGTGCGGGTAAGCGAAAGAATTCTTGGAACACTACTAAGCAAGCAAATAACATAAATTTGTATTTGCTTGCAGACCAGCTATCTGTTTTATCAGCCCGGCCTTAATGAGATCTTTGGCTCGCTGCTGCACCTGGGCGACTTTAATAGCAGCTACACCCCGCCTGCTTTTCTTACGCTCGGATCGCTGCTTGGCAACCTGGATAGAGGCAATTTTTATGCCTACATGGGATCGCTGACCACGCCCCCATGCTCGCCAGCTGTGGTGTGGCACGTGTTCGCCGAGGTGCTGCCCATTTCGCACCTGGAATTGCCGAAGTTTTGGCAACTCAGAGATCGCCGTGGACGGCCGCTGTTGAACACGTTTCGGCCATTGCAGTCGGTGGAAGCGCGTCAGGTGTTCCATCGTCGAGCTTCCGAGGCATATGTCTGGTTAAAATAAACGCTAAAACTTAATATATTTAACGAATTTATTGCCAAAAAAAAGTTTTTTATCTGGATAAATTTAGTTAATTTTTTTAACCGAATTTACGTAGTTCGCCAATGGTTACTTGCAGCCACCTCTGTAACGTGACAAAAAAGCCGCAAAAAATCCGAGTTCTATGGCCAAAACGGAGGAGCGCATCATGAATGGCGGTAGCTTTAAGACGGGACGGGTCAGCTTTGGTACACTGGCGCTCGCATGCATTGACTGAGATGCAACCGACAATGGCATTTGCGGCAGAATCGAGTTACGCTGCAGCTCAGTCTGTCGCCGGTAGCTAATGGTGTGATACTCCTGATCTCGTACATCGAATGGAGGACGTGGAATGCGCACGCGCGGATTGAGCGGCGGATGGAATGGCTTGATGGAGACCTTTCTATTGACTCTACCCTGTTGCTGCTCGCGAATCTGTCCAGGGAAAGGCTTGGTCCTGCCATTACCCTCCTCTATGTTATATGGATCGTTGCCCTCATAGGCGACGGGTCGCTCTTTATACTTTTCTTGGCCTGGCTGGCCCTTCGTCATGATTTTCGCTAATCTTTTGCTTATTTTACTGATTTGCGTCTCCATTCGCTTGAGTTTCGTTTGATTGGGCTCCGTTTCAGTCTCATTTATATTCGATTGTTTGGCAGAGCGGGAAAGGTCTTCGTGCTGTGTCGGTGTTTTCGATTTCGCCAACGAAATCCTTTTTTGACGCCATTCCCTTCTAGGCGTTTCGGTGGGCTGTGTTGATGACAATTTACTAGTTCTGCCCTTTGCTTGTGTTGGATTGTCAAACTCCGTTGGCCGCTCAGCGCTCGATTTAGCTTTGAGCACTGATGTGCTTATCGGCATATTACATTCTTGTCCATCCATTAACCTGGGCTGATCCGTTGACTCGTCCTCTGGCATGACTTCATTAAACTGTGCTCGCGTACC